ATATATATATATAAAATGTGTGCTTTGATCATACGAAGTTTAATTCAATCCAGACACACCTTAATATGGCTGAAAACATCGGGTGTTGCTCTATTTTTCACCGAATTTGGAGTTACTGATATCTTTTAAAATGAACGAAACCTGCACATTTTGTAATTGGCAAGCAAAATCTCGTTACTTTTAGAGTAAGAAAAAGAGGGAAAAAGAAAGTATTTTTATACCTACTGAACTTTTTTTTCTCGAATCAAGTCATGATAATTCAGAATGACAGAACATGCCCATAATTACTCTTTTTTAAAAAGTATTTTGTTTTATATCCTTTCAAATGCATCCATTGACCATATCCTGGCTTTTTTCGTTGACATTTCACCTTTCGTTTTGTCGTCAATAAATACTGAAAAGAGGCCAAGACCTTGCTAACATATTAATATAATTTTCACATGTAGTTGAATGCATTTCGCAGCAAAAATATACATGTTTGTGTGTGTGTGTGTGTGTGTGTGTGTGTGTGTGTGTGTGTGTGTATTCCGTCACCTGAGCAACAGTTAATGCAAGCACGTGATACAAAATTAAAAGAAACCAGGTTAAACACCCTAACACACAAATTACACCGTTTTTGAGGACAACAGTGAGCATTGCATCTGAAACGCCTCACCCCCCCCCACCTCCCACACACGTACACTCACACTTTTTTGTCTCAATATGATATGAACAAGACGCTAGAAACCAGATTTTTGGAATAAGACTGGATGCCTTTACATTTAATTTGACAGTCTATCCCAAATAGTTATCTATTCTTATCATCTTACTGATATCATTTAATTTTTAAAAAATGCTGTCTGTAAACATAAAAACCTAAAGAGAGGGAGAGGGAGAAAGAAACACACTAAAACACACATACACACACTCACATACGCACGCACGCACACACACCATACACACATAGACAGCTAGCTAGCTAGCTAGAGATAGATAAATAGATATATAGATAGATAGATAGATGGATAGATAGATAGATAGATAGATAGATAGATAGATAGATAGATAGACAGATAGATAGATAGATGGGGGAGACAGAGATACAAAGAGAGAGAGAGACAAAGAGAGAGACAAAGTCAGAGAGAGAGAGAGAGAAAGAGAGATAGGGATGGAGGGAGGGAGGAAAAAAGTAATTACAAAACAATGAAGGACCTATAAGCTCGCCCTCGTTTATTTGAAAGTAAATATTTACGTGTGCATGATCTATTCGGGAATAGAATTAAGCGATAGAAGTAAAGTAAGGGAAAGAAAAGAAATGAACAAATCGAAGAAATATTCTTATATTGTTTCGACATTTAAATCTATTTGAGAAGATCTTTTCGTCTCCTGGAGTGTATTTACGAACACACACGACGACTTTTTCCTCCTGTGTTACTTACTGGAAAAAACGGGGGGAAATCCAAACTAAAAAGGACCGGGTGTTTTGTGGATTGAATTTCTCCTCGGCGATGCCTCATCAGTGAAACTACAGACCAGACTCTCGGGTATATTATATCTACTACTACCAACACACAGGATCATGGACGTCTACAGTTACCGTTCCGAAGTCCAACTTCTGATAACGGTCTCGATTTTCTTCTGTCTGTCAGGTAAGTTGGGTTTTTCTTTCCTTTAGTTACGATGTCGATGCATAACGTTTTGTAAACCCTCTCCCCTTTTACCTCTCGTGTAAGTCACCGACGCCCCCTCCCCCCCTCCCACCCTCCCACACACACATCACTCGTACACCCGAAAAAATTATATCCAGCGCCAAATTAAAGAAGGGAACAAACAAAAAGTAAATAAACAAACAAACAAAATACCTCAACAATAGACACCAAACAAACAAAAGGAAAAAACAAAAACCCAACAAAACAAACCAATCAAAGAACGTAA